ATCTGCGTACATATATATATGTATAGAACCGGGATGCAACTGAACATCTACTTTCCCCTCGCCTCGAACAAAGAAACTAATCCCCTCCCTGGGAATCTGGACAGACAACGTCGCGCGTAGGTGAAATATCCACGATTGCACAGCATAGCCCTAGGATGGTCCAATCCAGGACCTTGAAAGGATGCGCTCGGGAGGCGAACTTTACCACAACACCTGCAGATCGAATGATGTGTTCTCGCTTGTTCAGCTACCGATTGGCATTCGATGTCTCTAGATGGTCCCGAGAAGACCCCAGAAAGCCCTAGGAGAAGCCACGCCTGCCCCAGCGGAACCCTGAGAAGCTCCAAGTGTATGGGGCCCCAGTTTGCCATCTGTGGTGCCCAACATGCGAAGCCTCGCGCAGGCTCCCAGAAATTGCGGGCGCCACGCCTTCTCGAGGATAGAGAGAGAGAGAGAGAAAGAGAGAGAGTGCAATCCGCTGATCGACCTGGCAGGGCAGGGTTCCTATCAACCTCCAAGCTTGTCCCACGAAGAAACGCACGCGTCATAAACATAGACTTTCAAAGTCCACGCGGATTTCTGGGGTCGGCGCCAGGCCTCCCTCCCTGGCGCGCGGGGCGCGCCAACAGCGGCGCCAGAGGCGCCGCAAGGTGGTCCAGCGCCGATCCGAGAAATCAGCGCGGAGCTCCGACAGTTTACGTTTAGTGCATTTTCCTTCGTCGAAGCCCAGCTGGTGACCAGCTGGTGAGGCCCAGCCTGTACCAAAAGGCACGAAGCACAGCATACGAGGCCCAACATGTTTCCTCGTCGAGGCACAGCCTGTAACCAACGACACAAGGCCCTGGTGACCAACGGTCTGCCGTGGTTCTCGCAGCGCGCCGCTCGCGTAACGGCTGAGCTGCACACGGGGCTGCTCCTCAAGGGAGCCGTTGAGGCCCATCCCACGAAGCCGGCGAGCCAACTGCAGAAGAAGGCACCAGGCTCAGACAGAGTAACAATAACACTGCGCGGCATGGAGGCGCGCAGTGTTCGACGAATGTCAAATGAGCGTGCGACGGGTGACCAGCATTTGGCCTCGTGCGCATAGAATGTGCAGTACTGAGCGTGCGATAATATGAGGTGCAACGCGCAAGCATTCCGAACACCTGAGAGAAAGAGAGGGACAGAGAGAGAGAGAGGAGGAGGAGGAGGAGGAGGAGGGAGGAGGAGGAGGAGGAGGAAGAGGAGGAGGGAGGTGGAGGAGGAGGAGGAGGAGAGGGAGGGAGGAGGAGGGAGGAGGAGGAGGAGGGAGAGGAGGGAGGTGGAGGAGGAGGGGAGGAGGAGGAGGAGGAGGAGGAGGAGAAGGAGGGAGGAGGAGGAGGAGGAGGAGGAGGAGGAGGAGGAGGAGCTCCTGCCAGCCGGAGCTGGAACGAAATCCAGGGAACGTAGCGAAGACGGAGAGCGCGGCCTCAACAGGAGGCCGCGCGGGGACTGTGGTGGAAACCAGGGACAGGCGGGATGCGCAGCATCAGAGCGAGAGCCACAGTTGAAAACGCCATACCGTCCACCAGCGAGAATGACGCAAACGTTTATACAATGAATGTGCGAAGCGCTACAGAGACAGAACTACATTTTGAAGAGCATCCATCCTCCATCCGTGAAGCGAACGCAGATGTTTAACACGAATGCGCGCGGAGCTCAAGCGAGAACAATATTTGCAGCGAAACTCCATCAGTGAAACTGTTGGGATAGTTGACAGCGAATGCGTGTGACGCTGGGGCGAGAATGGCAATTTGAAAACGACCCCCCCATTCGTGAAGCTGACGCAAGCTTTTGCGACGCATCTGCGCAACGCTCAAGAGAAAACCACATTTCGACAAGGAACCGCCCTCGTTCCCTGAATTCAGGGCGAACTTTTAGCACGAACGTGCGCGGTGCTAAGCGGCAACCGCACTTAGAAAACGACACCCCCTGTATCCGTGAAGCTGTTGCGAACTTTTACAACGAATGTGCGCGCATTTTGAAAACGCGCGCCCCTCCATCCGTGAAGTTGTGGCACAATTCAAGCTTTACGGTTTTGAATGGTGAGGAAGTCTCAGGCGGAACGCTGAGCCCGCTCTCCCGACACGCCCGGGGGTGCAACAGGGATGATTCTGTATAAGGGAAATGGGTGGAGGAGGAAAGTGAGTCGGAGAGCTCCCAACCATACACCACCACCAGCCCTAGACAGGCCCATCCTGGGCCCTGGACTGGCGTACGGGCTCTCCTGGCCCAGGCCTGGAGGTCTGTACACCAGCCCAGGACCAGGATAGACCTGGCCAGGGCTGGTGGTGGTGTATTGTTGGCGTCCCTTCGAGAGAGCAAGAAGAGGGAATGGAGGAACCACAAGCCAAGCCACAGATACCGCTCCTCCTCCTCCTCCTCCTCCTCCTCCTCCTCCTCCTCCTCCTCCTCCTCCTCCCCTTCCTCCTCCTCCTCCTCCTCCTCCTCCTCCTCTCTCCTCCTCCTCCTCCTCCTCCTCCTCCTCCTCCTCCTCCCTCCTCCTCCTCCTCCTCCTCCTCCCCCTCCCCCTCCTCCTCCCTCCTCCTCCTCCCTCCTCCTCCTCCTCCTCCACAGTTACTCAATATGAATATACTCTCCCTCTTCCCCTGATGGCGTCCGGGTGATGGCCGCGCACCCTCCGCGTACTGTTTTTTTACACACAGGATGCCCGGGAAATCCCGGGAAACGACTCTCGCTGAGGCGCCGGCGTCATTTTTTCCCAAAATGCTGCTCTCGTTGAGGCGCCGGCCTCATTTCTGCTCCCGAATCGTTCCGAATCGTGCTCCCGCTGCAGCGTGGGCCTCATTTTCGGATCGGTGTTTGGCCTCCGTCGTTCAGGATGGCGTTCTCGCCCCAGCGCGGGCCTTTTTCTCGCGCGCCCATCCGCCCGCCACCACCGCGCCGCGCACCACCACCACCCACCACCACCACCACCACACCACCACCCACCAGCACCAGCACCACCACCACCACACCACCACCACCACCACCACCACCACCACCACCACCACCACCACCACCACCACCACCACCACCACCACCACCACCACCACCACCACCACCACACAACCACGCACACACGCACGCACGCACGCACGTGCACCACCACCCACTACGCACGCGCGCGCGGAGCCACAGGTCCGCTACGACACGCGTCCGCGGATAGAGAAAATCAGCGCCATGGTAAGGGATGGGAGGGAGGGGTAGGACGTCAGATATGACGCGAGCGCACCTAGCTTGTCCTCCCCCCCTCCTCCCCTCCCCTCCTCCTCCTCCTCCTCCTCCTCCTCCTCCTCCTCCTCCTCCTCCTCCTCCTCCTCCCCCTCCCCCTCCTCCTCCTCCTCCTTCCCTCCCTCCTCCTCCGCTGGCGGAACGGGCGAGGAGGAGGAGGTCCAGCCGGTGACCACGGCAGCAGCACCAGGCCGACGGCCGCCAGCACGGTCCCCAGCCACTGCAGCTGCAGCAGCGCGCCCCACGGGCGGGGCGCGCCTGGCGGGCCGGGCCGCGTCGGCGCAGCCTCCTGCGGAGGAACGGGGGGGGAGGAGGAGGGAGGAGGGAGGAGGGGGGTGGGAGGAGGGAGGAGGAGGAGGAGGAGGGAGGAGGGAGGAGGGGAGGAGGAGGGAGGAGGGAGAAGGGGGAGGAGGAGGGATGAGGAGGAGGAGGAGGAGGAGGAGGAGGAGGAGGAGGAGGGGAGGAGGAGGAGGAGGAGGAGGAGGAGGAGGAGGAGGAGGAGGAGGAGGAGGATGAGGAGGAGGAAGAGGAGGAGGTCGGCGTGCCCGTTTGAGGGATCCTTCGCTGGAGGTCTGAACGTGGACGAGGAAAAAGAGGAGAAGGATGAGGAAGAGGAGGAGGAGGAGGAGGAGCCTCATGAGGGGGAGGCGGAGGAGGAGGAGGACGACGACGAGGAGGAGGACGAGGATGAGGAGGAGGAGGACGAGGAGGAGGAGCTGACGGAGAAAGATCTTCAGGAGACTCTGGCGAAGGAGGGCGGATGAGGACCCCGAGGATGGGGAGGAGAAGGAAGACCGTGAAAGCGGTGGGAGTGGGGGCTCCCGAGGAAGAGGGGGAAGATGGCCTGACCTGAACTCCACGTGGCTTCGGGGCGCGCCTCGGCCCCGCCAGCGGGCCAGGCCCCACGAGGGCACCACCCTGGAGGCACGATGCTGGCCCGAGGGGGCCGTCTCGCTGACTTGCCCCACCCCGCCGTGCGCGACGATGCACGCCTTCGCGGCACGTGCTGGCGAGAGCGCGCCCGCGCCCGCACGGCTCGCGCGAGGTGGGCGCCGTTGGAGGGACAACATCCACAACAACAAGCACACCAACTTCAGCAGCAACAACACCAGCAACAGCAACACTACCCAAACCAACACCACCACCACCACCAACAACAACGACAACACCAACACCAACAGCAACAGCAACACCACCACCACCACCACCACCAACAACAACAACAACAGCAACAGCATCAGCACCAATAACAACAGCAGCAACACAGCACAGCAACAACGAAGGCACCACCGCCAACAACAACACCAGCACCAACACCACCACCAAGTCCAGCACCCCCAACAACAGCAACGGCACCAGCAACAACAACATCACCACCACCACAAACAACAACAGCAACAACAGCAACAACAGCAGCACCAACAACAACAGTAACAGGAGCAACAACGCCAACGACAACGACAACGACACCACCAACACCACCAACAACAACATTAACAACTGCATAACCATGAACATGATCAGAACGTGGAGCTCCGCGTGGTTTCTTGGATCGGCGCTGGAACCCCTGGCGGCTCCTGCGGCGCCGCCCCTGGCGCGCTCCGCGCGCCAGAGAGGGGGGTCCAGCGCCGTTCCAATAAATCTGCGCATGGCTCCAAGAATTTCTTATGCTTGCGCATCCATGTTTTCCTTCGAGCTGTGTGCTCTGGCTGCGGGCGTGACAAGATCCCCAACCGCCTGGAGAAGTG